AAGAAGAAATTAAAAAAATACTTTGAGTTGAACGACAAGGAGGACATCACTTTTCAGAATGTATGGGATGCAGCAAAAGCAGTAATAAGAGGAAAATATATAGCAATCCAGGCTCACATCAAGAAACAAGAAAGAATTCAAAGAAACAACCTAATCTCACATCTTAAAGAGCTAGAAAAAGAACAACAAAAAAACCCTAAAGCCAGTAGAAGAAAGGAAATAATAAAAATCAAAGCAGAAATAAGCAAATTGGAAATTAAAAAAAAATTATCCAAAAGATCAATGAAACCTAAAGTTGGTTCTTTGCAAAAATAAACAAAATAGACAAACCTCTAGCCAGGCTCACAAAGAAAAAATGGGAGAAACACATATAAATATGATTATAAATGAAATAGGAGAAATCTCAACAGACTCAGTAGAAATCAAAAGAGTAATCAGAGATTACAGTGAACACTTACATGCAAACAAATTCAACAACCTAGAAGAGATGGACAAATTCCTTGAATGATATAATCATCCAAAGCTGGACAAAGAAGAAATAGAACAACTAAACAGACCAATTACAAGCAGTGAAATTGAGGCAGTGATCAAAGCACTCCCCCAAAACAAAAACCCAGGCCCAGATGGTTTCACAAATGAATTCCACCAAAAAATAAGCAGTGAATTAGTACCTATCTTACACAAACTCTTTCAAGAAATTGAAAAAGAAGGAATACTACCAAATACGTTCTGCAAAGCCAACATTACAATAATACCAAAACCAAACAAAGACAGCACAAAAAAAGAAAATCCTTGCCAACAGAATCCAACAATACATCAAAGAAATAATACCCCACAATCAAGTGGGATTCATCCCAGGGACACAAGGATGGTTCAACATATGAAAATTGGTAAGTGTAATCCAACACATCAAGAAAAAGAAAAAGAAAACCCATATGATCATATCAATAGATGCTGAGAAAGCATTTGACAAAGTCCAACATCCATTTATGATGAAGGCCCTTGAAATTCTCGGGATAGAAGGAACATACCTTAACATGATAAAAGCCATATACAACAAACAAACTGTCAATATTATTCACAATGGCGAAAAGCTGGAGGCCTTTCCTTTAAGATCAGAAACAAGGCAAGGACGTCCTCTCTCACCACTGCTCTTCAATATAATACTGGAGGTCCTAGCCAGGGCAATAAGACAAGAGAAAGACATACAAGGAATTCAAATAGGGAAAGAAGAAGTAAAACTATCACTATTTGCAGACAATATGATAACATACATAGAGAATCCTAAAAACTCCACAGAAAAACTACTCAAAATAATCAACCAGTTCAGTAAAGTAGCAGGATACAAAATCAACACAGAAGCATCAGTAGCCTTCCTATAAACAATCAATCTGGAGGAGAAATCAAGAACACCATCCCTTTTATAATTGAAACAAAAAAAAATCAAATACTTGGGAATAAACCTAACAAAAGAGGTGAAAGACCTATACAAAGAAAATTATAAAACACTGTTAAAAGAAATTGAAGAGGACACAAAGAAATGGAAAGACAGTCTCTGCTCATGGATTAGAAGAAATAACATTATTAAAATGGCCATCCTCCCAAAAGCAATATAAAGATTCCATGCTATTCCAACAAAAATCTCAATGACATTCTTCAAAGAAATAGAACAAATACTGATGAAATTTATATGGAACCACAAAAAACCTCAAATAGCCAAAGCCCTACTGATGAAAACAAAGGAGAAAGGAGGTATCGCCCTTCCAAACTTCAAGCTATACTACAAAGCCATAATAATTAAAACAGTTTGGTATTGGAACAAAAACAGACACACAGACCAATGGAACCGAATAGAGAGCCCAGAAATAAAGCCATACTTTTATGAACAACTAATCTTTGACAAAGGAGTAAAGAATATGCAATGGAACACGGACAGTTTGTTCAATAAACGGTGCTGGGAAAACTGGACCTCCACATGTAAAAAAATGAAACTAAACACTACCTCTCACTCTGCACAAAAATCAACTCAAAATGGATAAAAGAACTGGACATAAGATCTGAAATCATAAAATATATAGAAGAAAATATAGGTAAAACACTGCAAGACATACATCTCAGAAATATCTTTAAAGACATCACTCAAAGCAGTGATAGTGAAGACAAAGATAAACACCTGGGATTACATCAAACTGAAAAGCTTCTGTACAGCCAAAGAGACATTAACTAAAATAGGGAGACACCCCAGTGATTGGGAAAACATCTTTGCACTCCATTCAACTGATAAGGGACTGATCACAAATTTATACAAAGAACTCACACGGCTCAACAAAAACAAAATAAACAATCCGGTCAAGAAACAGGCAGAAGAACTTAAAAGACATTTCTGCAAAGAGGAAATGCAAATGGCCAACAGGCACATGAAAAAATGTTCAACATCCCTTATAATCAGGGAAATGCAAATCAAAACCACACTGAGATACCACCTTACACCAGTAAGAATGGCACATATCAAAAAAACAAGCAACAACATCTGTTGGCGAGGATGTGGTGAAAAAGGAACCCTCCTACACTGCTGGTGGGAGTGCAAACTGGTCCAACCACTATGGAAAGCTGTCTGGAGTTTCCTCAGTCTACTAAAACTGGAGCTACCATATGACCCCGCAATTCCACTACCAGGGAATCTACACAAAGGAAACAAAAACATTGATTCAAAAGAACACCTGTACACCTATGTTTATTGCAGCACTATTTACAATGGGTAAAACCAGAAACAACCCAAATGCCCAAAAACAGATGACTGGATCAAGAAGATGTGGTATATATATAAAATGGAATATTATTCAGCAATCAAAAAAAGATAAACTCATGCCATTTGCAGCAATGTGGATGGAGCTAGAAGGAATTATGCTCAGTGAAATAAGACAGAAGGAAAAAGAAAAATATAGGATGATTTTACTTATAACAGGAATATAGGGGAGCCTAATAAGACATCAGTGTAAAAAAAATAATAGCAATACAAAGGACAACAAAACAAAAACAGACAATTATAAATCAGAGACATACTGCAGGAGAGGAGAAGGAAGAGGCATCAGAGGGAAGGAGGGAGGTGCACAGGGGACTGTGGTGATGGTGCACAGGTGCCTTGGGGAAGGAAATTCTGTGGAGACTCAAACTGAAGGGATGGGGGGAAGCAGATCAACTGGACACTTACCCATCTCCCATGGACCCTTGGCAGCAGACACTTTGCTAGGTGGCAAGGTGGGATGTGGCAACTGAGGGAGCAGTTGGCTCTGAAAGGTCTGGAGGCTGGAGCTGGCCTCAAAACTCAGCCAGCTGCAGGAGAAGCTGGCAGAGCTGAAGGAGATGGTAAGTCCTGTGCCAGCTGGGAAGGGCTCGGAGGCCTCCGGGAGGAAGGTCCTTAGGCCAGGACATAGGTAGCTCCAACTCAGGGCTGGGGGGCACTGGTGACCCTGCAGTCCTGCCAGGTCCGTGACCACCTGTGCCCAGGGTCTGACATGGAGTGGTGGGTTCCCCGGGACTGCAGGTCACCTGCCCTGCTGGAGGTTGAGCCACTAGGGGAGAGACGAGGAGACGTGGAGACATCCTGGTTCCAGACTTGGCTCCGGGGTTGTGCTTCACTGAACAGGGTTGAGCCTCAGCATCCTTCACTTCAGAGAGCACTGGAAAGCAGTTCTGCTGCAGTTGAAGGAAGGGGCCTGGGCAGGTGGCAAAGTCCCACAGTGCCTGTCCCCTCCCCTTTGTGGGTGCAGATCTGGGAGTTGCCTCAGTGGTCTCCGCTCTGTTGCTCCACCACAAGTCTGTTGAGGCAGTTGCTCCTCAGAACTGCCCTTTTCTGCATGCTTCCTGGGTTATGGGCAGGACCAATCAGGTGGAAGCTATGAGCTGATTGGTGCTAAATGGTCCAGTCAGCCAAGGATGAAAATGGTCCAGGGCCTCCCTGGTGGCCTAGGGGTTAAGTCTCGGCACCCATCATCACTACTGCCTGAGTTTGATCCCTGGCTGGGATCTGACCCACAGGGCACAGCAGACCTCTCCTGCCTTGCCAGCTGCTCCCCTCCCCGGTGTGTTTCAGTCAGTCTGTCTGTTCTGCTCACTCTACACCTCTGGCCAATACCCCAGTTCTTCTGCACAAAAAAAGAAAAATGGTCCATTCAGACTTGATGTTGGGACACCCTGAAGAGTGATATAAGCCAGGGTTAGAGGGAGCTGAGGGGCTCCGTTCCAACCTCCAAAGAAAGAAGGGGAAGACTCTGTTCCTGGCCTCCGAAGAAAGGAGGGCCAGAAGCTGAAAGAAGACAAGCAGCATCCAGTAGCCAACCTCTGTGGGAGGAAGAGAGGATGAAGACCTCTGTCAGAGACTGGGCCTCCAGTCCTGTGTCTGACATCACCGGAAAGCAGCACCAAAGACTCCAGGCCTCGTGTCTGAAAGAGCTGTTTGTTGTTGGTGTTGTCCAGCAACTCACAAAGAAAGTTTTAACACTTTGTGTCTCTGACATCAGCTGGGATCCCAACTGAAAAGGGTAGTCACAGGGCATGAATGGGATGCCAGGATAGGCCACGGTGGCACCCACCTGCCCAGGCTCTAAGACAAGAGAGCTGCCAAAAAGACCCAAAGTCAAAACCAAAGGCTGGAGCAATACAGACCCCATACGATAGGGGCCTACAGGTTAGAGCCAATGGAAGGATAGTGCCCGGTAGGGGACTCATCACTGTGGTTCTCAACCATGTGCACAATTGCAAGAGACTTCAGCCTCTGTAAACAACCACCTTCCAGTTTATTTTACAAACGGGAAACGGAGCTTACTGTAGCCACAAGTGGTGTCTACCTCAGCCAGGTACTGTCCACCAGAAGTACAAGTAGGGTTCCAATCCCCTGTCACCAGGAGTGCTGAGCAGCACTGGTCAGTAGTGATGGTCACTACTGGTCTCCCTGAGGTAGCGTCTAGCAGAGGCAGCTGGGTTCCAGTGACAATTTGGAGGCCAACTGCCACCTGCCCTCACCCCCCGCGTCCTGCAGGTGGAGGAGAAATATCAAGAGGCTCAGGAGCTGCAGCAGCAGCGGGACCACTACCTTAGTCACCTTCAGCAGTACATGGCCGCCTGCCAGAAGCTCGTGGCCGCCTACCAGCAGCTGGCCAACGAGAAGGACGTCCTGCAGAAGCCGGTGCTGCTTAACACCCAGCTTGGCAACTGGATGCAGCACGAAGAAGAGCAGGGCAAGATGGAGGTCGTGTTGGCCAACCAAGAGCTGCTGGAAACACAAGTGGGGCAGTTGGAGTGCCAGACACCCTGTGGCCGCTGGAGCAGGAAGACCTGCGAGCAGCATCCCTTCTCACTCTTTCCTGCCGGCCCCACTGAACCTCCTGGCTCGGACTGGAGAAAGTGAGTGGGACTCCAGCAGAGGAGGGGTTTGCAAGAGTGGAAGCCACCCTTAGGACAACTTGGATCCTTCTCCTTTGGGGACTTGCTGGCGCAGGGTTGCACAGAGAGGAGGGAGCAGAGCTTGCTGGCTTTCAGGGCTGCTTCAGAACCCAGGTGTTCTTTGAGCCCCTCTGGCTGCCCCCCAACAGTAAATGGACTGAGCAGTGAGGAGAAGGAGGAAGAGGAGAACAAGGGTCCCCTGCCAAAGCTAAGCATCCCTGACGACCTAGACAGCCGCGAGGCCATGGTGAGCTCGGCCCCAGAGCCCCTTCCCTGCCCCAAATTCCCCCTCCCACCCTTCTCTTTGGTTTCCCTCCCTTTGATTAAGCTTCCCCCCCACCTCTGCTGGGGACCAGTGGGCAGACACCAACACCATCCTCGAATCTCAGCTGTGCCCATGGAGGCCCTGAGAGGTGTGCCTCCCAGCCCCCTGCCCGACCCTCAGGGACACCCTGCTCCTCTGGCCCACAAATGGCATTTTGTAACTCGGCCTTGGCCAGTGCTGAGGAAGAGCGGAGCAGCTACGCGGGCAGCTCAAGGAGCAAAAGCTGCTCTGCCAGTTCCTGGCTCAGCAGACAGCCCCATGGGACCAGGAGCCTGAGAAGATGGAGGCCCCAGCCCCGCCACCTGGGGGGAGAGTGTGCCTGGGGAGACCCACCAGGCCCTTCAGGGAGCCATGGAGAAACTGCAGGTGAGTGTGTGTAAGGCAGGAAGGAATGGCCACAGGGCAGGTTTTCTGATCCAGCAGACCGGGTAAAGGAGAAGTGAGTCCTGGAAGCCTCAGTGACTTTTGCAGGCTTTTATTGGGATTTACCGGGTACATGGCAGGCAGGGGTGCTGGGTGGGTCAGGAGGCAGACAGGCCTCCCAGCCCCCAGCAAGTCTTCACTCTTTCTGGGCTCTCCGGTGTTCTCTGGTGGTCTCTGCTGCTCTGCTCTCTCGGTTCTGCTTCTGCTTCTCTGCTGCTGCTGGCGTCCCCGTGACGCTGCCATTAAAAGCCCAGTCTTGGGCCTCCCCAGTGGCACAGCGGTTGAGCACTGGGTTGTGAAGCTGCCCGCAGCCTCCACCGCCGGTTCGATCCACAGCTACTCCCAGGCCACCAGAGGAGGGTCCCGCATGGCGCACAGACCTCTCCTGCCGCCCGCTGCTCCCCTCAGCAGTGTACTTCGGTCCTTCTGCCTGCTCTGCTCCCCGCTCTGGCTCTGGTGAATTCTCTCACCCTCCCACGCTTCTGACTGTACCCAGTGTTTGTATGAATAAATAAATAAATCTTTAAAAGAGAGAGAGAGACTGACTTCACAAAGTTCATTTAAAAAATAAATAAATAAATAAAAGCCCAGTCTTAGCCCAGGTGAATCCCATCTACCTATACCCACACCCTACTCCAGGTGCCCGCATCAGGCATGCCTTCGGGACCACAGGGTTCCGTCATCCATCCTAATGGCGGGAGGGCAGAAAAGCCTGATATTTTTACCTGCCAGACAGTCTATACGAGTTATATACACGTTTCTCTTGACGAATATGAACACTGCAGCCATGGCCCACAAAAGCAAATGAAATATATCACAATGAAATATAACAGAACACAAATAAGTCCAGGCAGGGCACCGACCTAGGAGCAAAAGACTATTGGCACCAGTACGTGATCCACCACTTCAGCTGCCGAAGGCACTGCTCATGCGAGAGAGGGAACCACTCAGGCATCTGCCGTCACTGGCCAGGAGCCCTCAGGCCTCCCGGCCCCCTCCAGCTGGGGTCTCGGCCACAAGCCACACACCGCATCCACCCCCAGGATGCACTCACTCTTGGGTTGGCGATTCTGTACTCTTTGGGGGTAATCGCCAACCCTCGGGGTTTCTGTCTGCAGTCACTCCAACACTCGGCTTTCATAGCCACCAATGCGACACGCAGGCCCCTGCACTCAGGCCAGCCCACTGCACAAGCACATGGGTCGGGGATCCGTGGATGCAAGTGCCACATGCGGCCTCTCTTGGGACCCTCTTTGGCTGTGGGCTCCACCACAAGCCACGTTCCCTGCCCGTCCCCCAAAGATGGGCTCCTCAGCTCCTCACCCTCACTCAGCAATGAACAGGGCAACACCCACAGGTGATTTTAAGAGACTCACTGGCCTTCTTTAGCTTACACAGTGCTTAACAGCCACTCAGGGCTTCCCGAACTTAGCACCAGCTTTTTGCCTTCTCAGTTGGCTTTTTCTCCTCTGCCTGGCTGCTGGGCAATACACTGGCTGCTTTTGGCCACCAAGGCCCACTGGCCACCCCCAGATTCCCATCTCCGGGGGTGTACAATCCCATCCTCCCCCAGGGCCCCCAAAACATATCAAACTTGCCAAGGTCCTCCGCCTTCTGGCGGGATTGTTAGTCCATTAGTTCAAGTTCATCGGCTTTTCCCTTTGTCCACACTGGGGAGCTCTGAATCGTGGTCCTTTCTTCCCTGACGATTCTTGCTGCCTTGGGGATCACTGGGTAGTCCTCTCGGGCGTCTCCTCCTCCAGGCGAGGTCTCATCCCGCAGCTTCCGGACCTTTTCCATCCCCTGTGCCGCCATGACACGTCCAGCGCTGTCACAGGAAAACACAGTCTGCTGCTCCTCAGTCCCTCCCGGTCTTCGGAGGGCTCCATACCGTCTGCATGGAGCACCTTGCCGACTTACGCCAATTGTAAGGCAGAAAGGAATGGACACGGGGCAGGTTTTCTGATCCAGCAGACCGGGTCCAGGAGAATAGAGTCCTGGAAGCCTCAGTGAATTTTGCAGGCTTTTATTGGGATTTACCAGGTACATGGCAAGTAAGGGTGCTGGGGGGCCAGGAGGCTGACAGGCCTCCCAGCCCCCAGCAAGTCTTCACTCTTTCTGGGCTCTCCGGTGTTCTCTGGTGTTCTCTGGTGGTCTCTGCTGCTCTGCTGTCTCGGTTCTGCTTCTGCTTCTCTGCTTCTGCTGGCGTCCCCATGACGCCACCCTTAAAAGCCCATCTTAGCCCAGGTGAATCCCATCTACATATGCCCACACACTACTCCAGGTGCCCGCATCAGGCATGCATTCAGACCGCAGGGTTCCGTCTTCTATGCAAATGGCGGGAGGGCAGAAAAGCCTGATAGTTTTTTCTTACCCTACAGTGTGGTTCTCCGGAGGGCTGGGCGGGCTGGGTGCTGGGCAGGCCGGCACTGCTGAGCCCCTGAGCCCACTGTCTGGCTGCAGGGTCACTTTACCAAGCTCATTCAGGAGAAAGTGGACTTACAGGACTGGATGGAGGAGCTGAAGCATCGATGTATCTAGATGTCTGGAGAGACTGACACCATCGGTTAGTGGGGAGGCCTGTGCCCCGCAGCTGGGGTGTTATGCAGAGGCTGGGGAGACCCCAGCAGCTGAGCTGTTTACACACCCTCCCCCTAGGACAATACATCGCTCTCTACCAGACCCAGAAAGCAGTGATGAGGAAGGAGCACCGAGAGAAGGAGGAGTCCATAAGCCAGCTGGCCCAGAGCAAAGAGGAGATGAAGGTAGTCAGAGCTCTGGCTCCATGGTGGTGCAGCTGGGCGTGGGGCGGGCTTCTGAGCATCTCTGCTTCCAGGTGAAGCTGTTAGAGCTGCAAGAACTGGTTTTGTGGCTGGTGGAGGTGCACAACGAATGGCGGGTGAAGCTCTGAGCCCCTGCCCAGAACCCTGCTGCTGAGCCCACTAGCACATGCCTAGCCCCCAAGGAGCTTGGCGCTGCCAGCGGCCAAGGTGAGGAAAGCCCCGCACGGGCATCTAGGCAGGAGGAGCACACTGCGCCAGGCACACAGCATCCTGTCTCTGTCTCTCTAAAGCACGGAGTGAGGTGAGCCTCGTCCACGACGTGCAGCCAACCCAGGGCAAGGCCCAGCTGGGCCTGACTCCCCTCGAGAACACCTCTGTGCAGCAGATCATTCAGCTGCTTCAAGAAATGCAGAACCCCCAGGAAGTCATCACCATTGGAAACAGCCCGTGTATTCCCTTCTTCTACCAGGCTGATGACAACAAGGTGAAGATAATGGTGGTCTAGGCAACCGGCATGGGGCCGGGGGCTCTGCCCCCACCTGGCCCTCACCAACCCATCCCTGTTCCCCAAGCTTTCCCCCCCGTCCTTTGGCTCTCCTTCCCAGTCGTCCTTATATGCCTCGGCTTAAAAAAGGGGTACAACAACTCCCCTATCTAATAGGGGGAAACAGGTGCAGACCCTAGCCTCTTAGGTCAGGGCTGTGTCTTAATCTCTGGGCTAATCATACTTCCAGAGACAAGGAGCTAGAAACATCCAACTTGTTATTTAGGGGGCTCCCTTCTACAACATAGGGGCTCCTTGATGACCAATTGAATCCTTACCAGGCCTTCCTGCAGAGGGCCTAGGTTGTATCAGGCAATTTGGAGCCACGTGCCCCCACCACGCTACCCCAACCATGTGGAATGGGGCAGCATTTTGAAGGCCCGGCATGGGGGCTAAGTCCAGACAGAGATACCAGCTGGGGCAGGTGGGAACCTACACCTGTCTAGAGTGTAGCCAAGAGATAGCAGTGAGACCCCCCAGATCCACAAAGGGGTGGCCTCCCCTGCTCCCTTTTGAAATTTCCCCACGGGCCTTTGCACCCAATTTTTTTTTTTTTATTTTTTGTTGGACTCAATAATTGTTTTGATTTTTCTTTATTTTTTTCTTTTTACTTTTTGTTGCACCCAATTATTTTGGAGGTGATCCCTAACTGCAGAGGGGAGGCCTCTCCTACTACCTAGCAAAAGTCCCCATGGGAATGTGTGCCCGATTATTTTGTAGGCACCCACCTGTTAAGGGGGGGCTCTGCTCACTACACAAGTCTTGCGGCTTGAGGTTACCCTGTCCCCCTCACAAAAGTCCTGCGGGCATGAGGGCACCACAATCCTCAAAGGGGTGTCCTCCCCTGTCCCCACTCACAAAAGGCCCGCGGGCATGAGGCCACCCCAATGTGCAAAGTGGTGGCCTCCTCCTTCCCCCCTCACAAAAGGCCCATGGGCATGAGGCCACCCCAATCCACAGAGGAGTGGCCTCTCCCATCCCGCCCCTCACAAAAGACCCGCGGGCATGAGGACAACCCAATTCTCAAAGGGGTGGCTTACCCTGTCCCCCCTCCCAAAAGACCCATGGGCATGAGGCCACCCCAATGCACAAAGGGGTGGCTTCCCCCCATGCCCCCTCACAAAAGTCCCGCAGGCATGAGGCCTCCCCGACCCGCAAAAGGGTGGCCTCCCCTTCCCTCCTCTCAAATGTCCTGCAGGTATGAAGCCACCGCAGTCCACAAGGGGGTGGCCTCCACTTGCTGTCTTTACAAAAGTCCCGTGGGCCTCTGTGCCTGATTATCTTGGAGGCCACCCCGGATTTGCACAGAGGTGGCCTTCACTGCTTCTTTAATAAAAAGTCCCCATAGAGGGGATGCATGGCTTACTCAGGCAATTTGGGGGTACACACTCCCCCAACCCTGTGGAAAATTGGGCTTGGCCAGAAGCTGGGCCGGGGTGGCTGGTGGAGGCCAGGCGGAAGATGCATGGGCGCCCCGCGGTGTACATACTGTGCTGGGACATGTGTACATGGGGCTGAGACAGCCCCTGTATCACAGCGGAGGCTGCGGTGGCCCCTGGGAGAGGAGGTTTCTGTGAATCAGATGACATCGAGGAAACTTATTTATAGATCGCCCAGGACAGAGGAAGGAGGCAAGGCCAGGGAGTGGTTCCTGGTGTTTCACTTTTGTTTCTGAATAAACCGAACTCACCACGTGGTCGGGCCCTGGGATCTGGGCTCAGGGGCTGCGCTGGGTGTGGGTCCTGCCAGCAGAGGGCAGGCTTCGGGGTGCGAGGTGCACACTGGGGCTGCCTGTCAGGGCATCCAACCCCGCTCAGCTCTCAGGCCCTACAGGTGCCACCCACTGCGTGCCACCCCGGGAGGGCCAGCTCCTGCTCTGATGACCAAGACTGGGAAACCTGGTCTACTTTTATGGGAGGAAAGCAGGGTGCCAGCACCCCAGAGTACTGGCTTCCAGCCTAGGCATTTCTCCTCTCACCCTGTTCCTCTGGGGCCCCCACCAGGCTCCATGAGTCCTCCAGGCTGGCACTCTACCCCTGGTGGCCACAGCAGGGTTCAGATGAAGACCAGCTAACATCCAGATGCTTTCCAGGGCAGCCCGGGAAGGACTGGGGCATCCCAGGCACCCCTGCGCCCCCATGCTTAAATCTTCCCCTCCTCCTGAACGCCACAGAACACAACCAGCACACAACACGTTGCTCCCCATTGTTCAGAAGTGGGTTTCATTCTCAGCCAAGAGACAGCAGGACTGGTCGCGGCCAGAAGCACACAGCTGCCGGGACAGCACCCCCATGCTCGGGGAAGGGGCAGGAAGGTGGCAGGGGTGCTGAATGGGCACAGGCCAGGAATGGCAGGGAGGCTCGTCGGAGGTGGCACGTGTTGGCGGGAGCAGCTGGGGTGACAGTGTTTGCTTGTAGTTGGGCCACAAGACTCAGAAGGACAGCACAGCACGGCGGTTCCCAACACTAGAGATGTGCACGTTAATGTGTGTGTGTGTGTGTGTGTGTGTGTGTGTGTATATAGACATGCATAGAGCAGGGCAGGAGCAATACCACAGCGGGGGCACAAGTGTCACCGAGGTCACGCCTGGGGTGTCAGCTCACCACCACAACAGACTAAAGTCACAGATGAAGGGGGAGGCTTGGGGGCTGGGGGCCAAGTCACAGAACAGCCACCCAGGCAGGCCTGGGAAGAGAGGTGTCCCAGGAAGAGGAGGGGTCTGGTTAGAGGCCGAAGGGGGCCCTGGGGCTCTCAGGTTGGATGGACTTGCCTGACCCGATCAGCTGGCAGCTGGAGAGAAGCAGAGAGAAAACGGGGGAGGGCAGAGAAGGGGGAGAGCTGGGAAGGCAGGTGCAGCCTGGGCTGCAGCGCTGGGGGGGAGGTGGGGAGGGAAGACAAAGCAGGGGAGGGTGTGGGCAGGGGTTCTGGATGAGAGGGGAGGGGTTAAAGGGAGGGGGGATGCAGGAGCAGGAGCTGGAGCCTCTCCTGTGGCAGCCCCTGCCACTGTGTCAGCCTCTGTTGCTGGACGCCCGTAAACTTATTGGAAAGAGGGAGGCTTTCACTCAGACATAAGTCAGAGTATATAAGACCCCCTTCCCCTGTGCGCTGGACTGGACAGTCAATGACGGGGAAGATCGGGGGCAGACTAAAGAAGGCACTGGCCAGCCGCATGTCTGCGACTCCTGACGACCTAAGACAGGCGCAGTCCCCGAGGGGATTCAGCATAATAAACTTTGGCGTTCACGTTAAGCAGAAAAGACCCCCTCTGATGTTGCAGGAAAGGATCGCTGTGCATCGGCACCATAAGCAACCAACAAACACTGCCTGAAAACACTGAGACACACACCGTTAATCTTTACCTTACAATTCAATAGCCCTGGGCTGCACTGCCCTGCTGTGTGCTTTAAACTGTTTAGCTGCTTTTAGAACATGCTTAAATATATGACTAAGAAAAAGTAATCATTGTGATTTTATAGTAAATGCTAATAACAAATAACAGTATGTGGTAATTAAAAACTAATGTTATGATAAATACATGAAACATGATCATAATAAAAATCATGTAGGTCATATTTAAGTTAAGGTTAGGATAACAAAGACCTCCTCTGAGTAAATTACAGTAAGTGCTTGATTCATCGATAATTGTACTTAAATGGAATTTAGGTGAAAAACAATATGTAATAATTCTTGCTATGTTTCACTGCATATCTGATGTATGATTTACCACAAACTGTGAAAAATAATCTTAGGTAATTGTCACAGAAATGTATAAAAAGAGAAGGTTGATTTTAATAACTCGCACTCAGATTTTCACTCTCCCTTGAGTGTGTCTGTGTCATTCTTTCTTGTCCCTCGCCCTAATTCCTTCGACCACCTCGTGCTTGTTCTCGCTCATTCCCTGAGAGTGCCTCGATTTACCCACCGCTGCTGGGCTGGTCCACAGCATCTATCGAAAAAAAAAGCATTTGCCAGATCGGCTACAAAATGGTACATTCCCAGCTCGTGGCTCAGACGATCCATCAAATCTGCCACTGAAGGCACTGCAGCATGCAAGGGGGGAACTACCTTATTCAATTCACGATAATCTACTGTCATGCGCCAAGAGCCATCGGGCTTCTTCACTGGCCACACTGGTGAATTGTCAGGGCTGTGGGCAGTACGCACAATGCCCGCTTTCTCCAGTTCTGATATTGTGCCTGTAATTTCTTTGTAGCCTCCGGGCAACCGATATTGCTTGGTATTAGTCACTCGCCTAGGGACTGACAGTTGTAGGGGCGGATGCTTAGCGTGTCCTCTCACCACTGCCTTTACCACACGCACTCTAAGGCAAAACTCTCCAGCTGTGCTCTCTAGCCATAAGCCACATAGTACATCCACCCCCAGGATGTACTCCAGGATGGGCGATACATGTACTTTATACTCTTTCGGGGGTAATCGCCCAATCCCCAGAGATAGTTTTACTGCTGTCACCTTGACACTCTGGCCTCCATAGCCATCAATACAACAAGTAGACCCGTGAAATCTTTCTGGATTTCCATAGAGCACAGAACATTCTGCTCCTGTGTCTACTAGAGCTAAAACCCTTTGTACGTTAGTCGGGGACCAGTGGATGGCAAGTTCCACATGTGGCCTCCGGTCCC